TGGGCTTCAGTTCAGCTTACTGAACTTGAGGCAATGGAGGGACAGAGTTGGAGAAATGTCCACTTTAGATTAAAGAACATTCAGAGGGTTCAGGCATATTGTTGGAGGTTCAATGGAGTTCTTTCTTTGGTGCTCCTAGTTACCTTTCTTGAGCTCATCCCAGTACAAAGGGCCTAGGACTCTCACCTTCCCCTTTCTTCTCCCTGCCCCATGCATCCCCATCTAGAAGATTTATTTGAGTGTCCTCCCTCACAGACTTCCTCCTAGATTAGCATGAAGTCACTGAGCGCCAGGCAATTAGAGTGCCCTGCTGTCTATCATCTCCCAGTGTCTCCTGGTCTGGCCTTGAATCCTCCGCCCTGCTCCCGACAATGAGATAGGGCAGGAGCCATATCCCTACATCATGACTGAACAGTTCTCAAGACAGTACACCGTGCTGACCAGCCAAGTTTGGCTCCCAACTGAGCCACATGTCCCTGCTCTGGAATGTCTCACACTAGTTAGCAGATCAGGGATCAAGCCTTGGCCCTCCCACTGCTATCTAACCCTCCAACTTGACAGGAGAGATCAAATAAATGTTGTACATCAATTATGTCCGACTAAAGGCATCACATACACCAACCCAATGGATGCACTGGGGAAATGAAGTTCTGCAGGAATGCTTCTAGTTCTTTGTCAAGGCTGGGGGCAGATTCCCTGACACTGCTGCCATCAGTCTTATCAACAACAGCAGTTTCTGGAGAAATAAGATGTTGGGGGCAGAGAGGAGGGGATGATGGTGACAGTGGGGTGTGTGTGTGTGTGAGTGAGTGTGTGTGTGTCCGTGTAAAGGTACAAGCACTGAACTGGAAGGCTTCTCATGACAACTGAGGTGGATAAGGACCCACATGGGAGCACAAGACTAGAGTCAGAACAGGAATATGAAAGAATGCGAAACACTCGGGCAAAAATGGGAAAACATCGTCACCAGGTGGAAAGAGACATCTAAGGTCAGGGAAGGTGGGATTCCACATGGAAACTCTAGCTGCCAGCACTTCGAGTTCTGTACATTGCACCTTGTGTGTGCAATCTGGCCTCCCACTGAGCAGGCCTTGAACACTAACAGTGGAATGAATGGTGATGAAATGGCACCATCTGAAGGCTTGTCGTGCTCAGCTGAAGCCAAGAATGGCTCACATGGTTTATGGTTCTTATTGACATCACTGCTCTCCCCTTTTCAATCTAAATTTCCTTCTCCAAAGGTATTTACACTTTAAATTACAATTGCTAGAAGAGGGCGATATTTAAACCAAGGAATAAAGTGCATGATGAAAAGCATTGGGCGAACAAATTTGGGGGCATTCAATCCTAAAAGTAAAATTGTGGTGTTCTGAAAAGGCTTTATCTCTCTGGATATACCACGTATCCGTCACCAGGCTTCTCAAGACACCCTGCCTCAGACTGTGGGAGAGCTGCATGTTCAGCATTACCTAATTTCCTCATAAATCTCCTGCCTTTTAATCAGCTAAGTGGCTATCTGCCGAATTTCCCTGATTTACTGACATCTTATGAGGGCTGAGGATATGTCCAGATACTAAGTGATTAAATGTGGATGAAAACGGCACATCCCATAATGACGGAAGGGGGAATCGTGACTTGGCATATATAAGACCTCACACAGATGGATGTGGGCAGCTTCTTAAAAGGGCAGGCTCCAGAGCTGCAGAGAAAATGGCACCATCAAGCCAGTTTTTACACGAAAATCTTCCCAATTCCTCTCACGAAAGATGCATTCACATTCGAGGGCTCAGCAGTCCCACAAGAACCACCGCTTCCGAGAAGCAGGGGTGTACCGCTAGCCACGCTGAGAGGAATCCTGGATTCCGTTTTCACCTTACCCAGCAGCCATGCGGCCCGCAAGGATGTTTCCACTTCTCTGGAGATTTCCTTCTTCATTGTTCATCAAGGGTGATCCCTGCCCAGGGCAGTCATCCGAACACCCTCCTGTTAAACCAGGACATTATGTTGGCTCCATAAAATGAAAGATTATTTCTTGTCATGGGTCTTCGGTACATTTGTTAAAGGGCAACCTGCTGGGAACACCACAGATAAGACACCAAATTCTCTAGATGCTGGTGTCCGAACGGTGAGAAATGTGAGCTACCTGCCCACAAGAGAACCTAGCTTCAAAATGTGAGTGGTGAGAATGGCAGCAGCAAAGCCCTCCCTTCTTAGTGTTCCTGCAGTCCAATTATACAATTTACTATCTCTCTACAGCACTAGGGAGCAATCTACCGTGTATCCCCGAAAATAGGACATCCTCCGAAAATAAGACCTAGCGCATGGAAAGATAAGACATCCCCTGAAAACAAGACCTAGCGCAACTTTGGGAGAAAAAAATTAATATAAGACACTGTCTTATTTTCGGGGAAACAGGGTAGCAACCATTCTACTATTCAGCAGGCTTCTTTAATGGCATAAATGGCTACAAAATTATTAAAAACTGAATACTGTTCTAATGGGCTGAAAAAGAACGTACAGGCCCTAAACTGTTTGGCTCAGTGGATAGAGCATCAGCCTGTGGACTGAAAGGTCCCAGGTTCGATTCCAGTCAAGGGCATGTACCTTGGTTGTGGGCATATCCCCAGTAGGGAGTGTGCAGGAGGCAGCTGATCAATGTTTCTCCCTCATCGATGTTTCTAACTCTCTATCCCTCTCCCTCCTCTCTGTTAAAAAAAAAAAAAAAATCAATAAAATGCATTAAAAAAAAAAAAAAAAAAAAAAAAGGACCGTACAGGAGGTTCTCCAATTAAGAATGTGCTGAGTTTCAAAAACTTGTGTATAAGCCAGGTGTTGAAGACCACATTGCCCAGGCTGACTCAGCCAACCCCGAGTCGCTACACACTTATGTAAACAGGATGCCCAGGCTTGTAGTCCTTGTAGTTTAGCTGCTGAATGTGATTTGCAGTGTTGCTGCTCTGGTACACTCAGTTCTAAGTTTTAACTCAGGATGCCCGGAGTGAGAACTACTTTGCCCACCTCCGGAGGGAGTGGGCGAGGGGCAACACTAGGATGAAGGGGGAGGATGGAAAGAGCAGAGCGGGGTAGAATAACTTACTACCGACATGGACTGCACATAAGGCCTTACGTAGGTCCATTTCCCTTGAAGTGTTCTGAACTGGGACCAGAGACAAAGTTCATTTCATAAACACAGAACAAATGAGGCAACCGTAGGACCAGAAAGATGAAAGAAGTCTGTTGTTAACCTGGAAGAGCTCAACCTGTGGTGAGGAGGGGCAGGTACCCAGCATGCACTTCAACAGGAGCTACAAGGAGGATCTGAACAAGCGCCCAGGTGCCCCCGCCCGGCTGGCCTGGGAGAGGCTCCATAGAAAAGATGACATTTGAGCTCAGCCTGGCAGACCGCTGGGATGTTGTCACCTGAGAGCCCCTGAGTCATCACCATCCCTTTATATACACAGGTTTATTCTTAAGGAAGGCATTTTAAGAGATAATCAGTGTGTATGAACTGAAAGTATTCCCCAAAATGCCAAACATTTTAACATAACTTTTCCCCCCCACTTTTTGACAGTTGTGATTGGGAGGAGGTGAAAACCAGACTTCAGTGTTAACAGGCTTCAGAGAATGAGAGGGATTTCACTCTAAAAGGGAAATTAAAATAATTTTAAAGTATGTATAATATTCCAGCAAATCATCTGTGAGCTCACTCTGAATTCCCTTTCATCCCAGCAGAGCCACAAAGAGATAGGTTTATTTTACCTTACAGAAGACATGTTTCTGAAAAGTTGGATGTGAGTATAGTAAGTCATTTAAAATCAACAAGGGAGCTCGGCCGGCATGGCTCAGTGGTTGAGCATCACCCAGGAGCCAAGAGATCCCGGTTCGATGCCCCATCAGGGCACATGCCCGGGTTGTGGGCTCAATCCCCAGTGTGGGATGTGCAGGAGGCAACCGATCAATGATACTCTGTCATCATTGATGTTTCTATCTCTCCCTCTCCTTTCCTCTCTGAAATCAATAAAAATATATTTTAAAAAAGAAAATAAAACCAACAAGGGAAACTGATTAACCCCCCCCCAAAACACACACACACACACACACACACACACACACACACACATTGGTTGTATTTCCATAAAATCAGAAATCATTTAATGTGAACACTTACTCTCAGGTTCTTTTATTATATTTTTATTTGAAAAAAAAAAAAAAAAGCTTACATGCAGTGTTTGTAAAGTTGCACACTGGTCGCCGGTATCATAATGATGCTGCCTATGAACACTTTCATTGAAGGAGTATCGTAAAAATCTCACGGAGCGTAAGTGGCTGTAAGAAGTGGGGCAGCATCCTCTTTAACCATGAAGAGAGGATTCCTAGGTTTGCAGCATCCCCTTCAAAGTTTCTACGGCGCTCACGATTGTGTCTCAATCGTGATCACGATTCCCCGGCTCTGTCCCCCGTCCCCCCCCCCCCCCCCCCCACACACACACGTTCCTGCTGTGTGCCATCAGTCCCCAGGCCTCAGCTGTGGCTTGTGGCAACGCCTGCCTCAGAAGGACAAAACCGAGAAGCCCCCAGCAGAGGAAACCTACTCTGAAACTGCCCTGGACCGCCCCTCCTCCTGACCACAGCCCCTCCTAGGCAGCCCTGTGCTGAGGCTGGCTCAGTGGTGGGCTCTGCCCCATCCTGCTCGCCCACCTGTGCCTCCGAGGCCCCAGAATGGGGCCCACCCCTGTCTCCTGACACTCACAGTATTGGTCCTCACACACACAGAAGCCTACTCCTCCTCGCCGTGGCTTCTGCTGCATCTCGGCATTTCCACTGGGGAGACATCCCTTTGTAGCATCTCACCGATGGGGCCCCCTTTGATGCCACGCGTATTTGCTCTCAGTTGGGTAACTCTCCAGGTTTCCACCCAGCAGTCAGACGCTCTGCTTGGTCCCTGCGGCAGCTCCCCGCTTCCCAGGAGGCCCCAGGAGGCCGGGCCCCTTCTTCTCCAGCTACAGGAACGCGGAGTGGGCCTCCGGGAGGTTCTCCTCCAGCTTCAGGCCCAGGTTGTCGATGCCAATGCTGGGGGCCGGGGGCACGCTGCTCCCCGCCGGCTCCGCCGTGCGCGTGGGGGTGGAGCAGTACAGAACGAAGCCCACCATGATGACGGTGAAGGACAGGATGTAGAGCCCCGAAAACTAGGAGGAGAGAAGGACAGCTGAGGATGATGCGCCCACACGCACACACAGCTTTGCAGCTGCCTCTTGCCAAAACCCTCCTGTGTACGTGGAAACGCCTGGTCACTGGCAACGTGCCCCGCACATCAGCCAACTGGCTACCTTCAGCTCTAGGAAATGGAACTTGCCTTTTTCTGTGACAACCTAGCGGCACCCCACCACACAACTAGCCCCACTTAATTAAGAGAATGAAAGGTGAGTGGATTCCAAGTAGAGAGCCCAATTCAGACCCAAGGCACAGCTTCCAAGATTGGTATGAAACAGGAGCACAGAATCTAAGATAAAATGTGGGTGCACAGCCCTGGCCAGGTGACTAAGTTGGTTGAAGCATCATCCTGTACACCCAAAAAGGCCGTGGGTTCGATTCTCAGTCAACGGCACGTACCTAGGTTGCAGGTTCGATCCCTGGTCCTGGTGGGACCCATGTGGGAGGCAACGAATTGATGTGTCTCTCGCACATCGATGTTTCTCTCTCTCCTTCTTTCTCTCTCTCCTCTTTCTCTCTTTCTCTCTCTCCTTCTCTTTCTCTCTTTCCCTCCTCCCTACCTTCTTTCCACTCTCTCTAAAAATTAAATGGGAAAATTAACCTTGGGTGAGGATGAATAAAAATAAGTAAATTAATAATAAGTACTCTGCATATTTGAATTAAGGATCCATACAAAAGTTCAAATCTAAGGGAATTAGTATTTGTTTTTAACAAATAAAACACAGAAAAATATGAAAAATAAAACACAGAAAGAGAATAAGGAAAGACTGACCAAGAAGGATGTAATAAAACTTAGGGAAACTGTGCAGCATAATGAGTGTGTAATTAAATACCCAGAATCATGTGGGGGTTTTCTTTGGAGCAAACAAGCACAATTTATAAGTGGCCCTGATAACCTGATTGCAAATTAAAAATAGGGGAGGTGCTACTTAATTCGAGCCAATAAATATTTTTAATTAGCTTAGATTTCATAGCATGCCCAATAAAAACAGTTCTAGTCGGGGGATAACAAAGAAAAACAATAATAAAACAGAATGGGTTGGGGAAAGAGGGAGAAGGATGAGAGACACAGAGAGAGAAGAAAAAGCAAGATACACTCTCCATGGTAAAAGAAAAAGCTAAGTAGGTTTTGGAATGAGTATTGGGTAGATATATATATATATATATATATTTTTTTTTTTTAATTATTATTGATTTTTTACAGAGAGGAAGGGAGAGGGATAGAGAGTTAGAAACATCGATGAGAGAGAAACATCAATCAGCTGCCTCCTGCACAGCTCCTACTGGGGATGTGCCTGCATACAAGATACATGCCCTTGACCAAAATCGAACCTGGTACCTTTCAGTCTGCAGGCCAATGCTCTAGCCACTGAGCCAAACCAGTTAGGGCATTAGGTAGATTTCTGGTCATCTCCAGCTGGGGGCTTCTGCGGGTCACCATTGGCTCAAGGGTGATGCTCAATTACCTCTTACCCTTGAGCCTTTAGGGCCACAGCCCTCCCCGAGGCAGAGAAGCCTTCGCTGGATCCAGTGGTGACACAAAGCCAATGTGAATGTCAAGCTGAGCAACCCAACTCATTTCCTACCATTGCCTTTAATTCTTGGATCTAATATGCTGCACGGTACCCTATACATAGCTGGTGTTTAATAATGTTTATTGGGGTAGTGGTGGGGGGTGGGCGGAGGATTCAGAGACTATGAGAGGTAGAAAAAGTTAAAGCTATTTAGAGTACCCTGAACTTTTTAGGTTGGTATTATGAAAGTTAACCATGCTCTCCTATAAAATATTCAGTAATTGAGGGAGAACCTAGGTAACTTATTCAAAACATGTCTTGTTTGGTTTGATGGTTCTGAATATTTAGAAGAAAAAGCATCCTGTTCCTCTTAAGAAGACAGGTGATTAAATCGAGGCACCTGTATTAGAAGAGAGAAACGGAGAGGGAGTGCAGTAAGTCTCCTAAATTAGACACTCTAACTCTTTTCCTCTTTTTAAAATCCTGCCCTTATGTCTGGATCTATACAGGAAGCTTCTGTGGATACTCTGTTCAATGGGTATTTACTCAAGATCAGTTCCAAAGGAGGCAGAATCTGACACAGATGAGTGTAGAAAATTTTAATTCTCTTTTTCAACTGTGTTTCAAAAAATCAGAGTCAGTTCGTTTAGATACTACAATTTTAATAATTGGAGGTACCCTGGGCTTATGATTCTGTCTTTTAAAACTATTTTTACCAGAGAAGGTCGGTCCTGCATTGCCACCATCTGTCCCTCATCCAGATATCATTGATGACATGTATACATAAGGAACTATTTGACATTGAAACTGGGTCTCAGAACTGTTGGACATTGAAATTGGGACTCAAACGTTTTTTGTTATTATATGTTTATTTCTAGTCTGCAGTTGCAAGATTTTTCAAAGAAAAGAAATAGGGAAAATCTAGTTATAGAGATAAAGAACCATTAAACAGACTATCAAACTATAGCGGGAAGGCAAGGTAGGCTGGGGGTGGGGGGCTGTAAGAGATCAATCGAAGGACTTATATGCATGCATATAAACATAACCAATGGATATAAGACACAGAGGGGGGGGGCAGGTGAGGGCATATGTGGGGGGGTAGGGAGGCTGGGGGGAGGTCAAGGGGGAGAAAAAAGGAGACATATATACTACTATTTGTAATGCTTCAAGCAATAAAAGAAAAAAGAAAAAAAATGCTAGGTATCTTCTTTATTCTTCTTTATGCTTCTTCATATTTGGTTTCCCACGTCTGTAACTGACTCTGAAAATCACAGAAGACCCGCTCTTTGCTCTGTCTTGAAATGACCTTTGACCAAGAGCAGCGAAATCTGATCTGATACAAGAGTGAACTGCTAGGCATGCAGAGTCAAGGAAACAAAAATCAAAACAGCTAGAAAGGAATTTACAATTTGTAGTCTCCAATTTGGAGAATAATTTAAAGTCACGTGGCCGGGGAAAAATGGCACACAGAAGGGTGTTCACATATTACAGTTAGAGCAGTTAAGGAGCAAATATTTACATTAAGGGAGCTTCCAGCAGTTTGGTAGTGACAAGGGTACTTTTACCTCCAAGCTTTTCTTTCTTTAACCTTACTTCCTCCTGGGACATTACTTTACTTATGAGGGACAGTTAAACTACTAAAGCTAAATCAGTATGTTTGGTATAAAAAAAAAAAAAAAAAAAAAAAAAGCACAGGTGAGCAGGGCCATTAGTCACACTATTGAACTCGGGCTTTCTTTGGGCTCCAATAGCTATCAACTGGCCTTGAACTTCAGAATAGAAACACCATCATCTTCTAGTGGTGGCTCTGTGAAATGCAAGCTCAGCACCACAGAACAACTCACTCTCATAGGAAAAGAAATCTAAGCCTGTCAGGGTCACTCTGATTCACTTTGACAATTTTTTACTGTTTAATGCTGCTAAAAAAATAAAAAATAAATTTAAAAAATAGGCAGTTAGGGGCAACCAGGATGGCAGGGGAGGGCAGTTGTGGGCAATCTTAGTTCAGGAATTACTACATGTAACAAGAGCAATTCCAGCAGTTAGGGGTGACCAGGCCTGCAGGGGAAGGCAGTTGGGGGCAACAAGGCCTGCAGGGGAGGGTAGTTGAGGGCAATCAGCCCAGCAGGGGAGGGCAGCTGTGGGCAATCTTAGTTCAAGAATACCTTAACCAGCAAGTTTGCAAAGATAACTAACAGCTGATTCTTGTCATGTGTACCTGGCAAGGCAAAATAGTTTCCACTCCTTACGTAGAAATGTCTGAGAATCCACTGAACGAGGCAGTGTGAGTTCATAGCCAATTCCTGGGCACAGTGTAAAATCAGTGCCAAAGATTTCTGCCTGGATACAAAATTGTTCAAAGACCAAGAAATGTGGTTGCTATTCCCTGCTGAAACTAAAATTACCAAGTGACAGCCACCATCCCAACTCTGTGTTCACCCTATTTGTTGCAAAGAGAGCAAACAGGTCCAGAAGCATTCACTGCAGGTATGCTAAGGAAAGACGGTTCTCAAGCGCACAATGGAAGGTTCCAGAGACTACATGACGTGTGATATCACAAAGCAAAATGAAGAACCAGATGTGGAATTTCAGCTATTTTCCATTAAGCCAAACATTAAAGAGATTTTTTTTAAAATGTGAATCAATACCATTTTTACTATTTTTTTTTTATTTTTGGAAATATAGGTTTTTTTAAAAAAAAAATGTTTTATGCTAACATATGTTTTTTATTTTCTTAATGAGTTAATAAATATTGTTTAAGTATCTCAGTTTTAAATTCTGATATGATAAATCATAGAAATAAGTGAACTGCATTTAAATTTTTAATTTTTAAGCATTTAAAAGGGTCCTGATATCAAAAAGTATGAGAACTGCTGTCCAAAGAGTTTTTAAATTAGCTGTGAAGTATAGAAGAAAAAAAAAATCTCCCTATTTGGTTCTTTCTAATGCATGAGACTTTACCTTGATAAATAAGCTTGAGATTCACATCTTATTCATGACGAGAAAAAACATGCACTGCATAGAGAAGACTGCACTGTAAGACTGATAAGCCTTTGTTTCCTCACTTCTAAAATGAAATCATTCATTCTGTAATTTTTGAGGGAAGGTGAAGCAGACTCTGGATATCTTTGCTCTCCTATTTCCGTTGTAGACACTCATCCATTCCCTCCCACTCCAGTCTCCTTGAGAATTACTACATGTAACAAGAGCAGTTCCTAATGGAAGCAGGTTATTCTTTGGAATGCTGTGAGGTTTTGGAGACAGAAAAAGTCTGAAAAACCACTAGATTGAATTACCTTTAAGGTCCCTTCTAGATATAAAATTACCATCACTACAGGCATGATAATACATGATCTCCTTCCTTTCCACCGGGTACCACAGACTCTATCTGTGTAGTAGGATTTGCAACATGCAAGTGTATCAAACCAACATGTTGTAAACCTTAAATTTATACACTTCTCAATTATCCTATATAATAAAGAGGTAATTGACCCTCTTGTCCTCACACAAGTTAGAGTCCCCCTGGGGGCAAAGATGGTCACCACAAGATGGCCAGAAGGGGAGGGGTAGTTGTGGGTGATCAGGCCAGCAGGGAAGGGCAATTGGGGGCAACCAGGCCTGCAGGGGAGGGTAGATAGGGGTGATCAGGCCAACAGGGAACAGTAGTTGGAAGGGACGAGGCCTGCAGGGGAGGGCAGTTGGGGGCAAATGGGCTGGAAAGGGAGTAGTTAGGCACTGATTAGGCTAGCAGGGGAGTATTTGGGGGTGATCAGGCTGGCAGGCAAAAGAGCGGTTGGGAGCCAGCAGTCCCAGATTGTGAGAGGGATGTCCGAGGGGTCCCAGATTGAAGAGGGTGCAGGCTGGGCTGAGGGACACCGCCCAGTGCACAAATTTTTGTGCACTGGGCCTCTAGTATTTCAATAAATCTGGAGTGGGGAAAGCTCAGGATGCCCAACCTGAAATGGTCTCTCAAAGTCAACAGTAGCTCTAGGGTTTCTTGTTTATCACCAGGCAACATGCGTTAGCATTTCCAATGCAATAGTGTTATGGGCCATACCAAAGAGGAAATCCACTGCATTTCACCTTTTAGAAAAACCTAGAAAAACAAGTCTTATTTGGGCCAATTTCCCAACTTGGAAGCAGTAACAAAGGGAATGAGGACTGTGCAATAAAATTTTTGCCAAGAGGATAAGAAGGTTTTACTTTTGGGTGTAAAGTCTTAAAGAAACCTACTCCTTCTTTTGGACTAACCACTGTTCTTATTTGAACATGGATTCTATCTACTTACCTGATAGCCAAAGAGAAAGAGTCCAAAGAAAAGGCTGTAGAGGTCAGCTGTCAGGATGCCCAGGTTCACTGAGGTAGCACTGGTGACTTTAATCACCAGGGGCATGAAGCTGTACAGACAGAACATACAGAGGGCAAATGCCACGAACAGCAGGGCTGTGAAAACAGGGAAGAAATCAGAAGGCAAGGTGCTAAAAAAATAAAAAAAATAAAAAATGCTGCCATTTAAAACGGCTGGTCCTTTCACATACTATCCACAAAGCCCCTTGTTAGTATCAGCATTGCAAATGATACACACTACACCCACACACAAAGAGAAAAAAAATAGAAGAAGAAGAACAACAACAACAGCAAGATGTGATGTAGGTAAAAGACTTCAAAAATTCAACAGGGTGTTGAATAATCAAGCAAACAACCTTCACAAAAAGTCTGCACACTGAAGATACAGTTCTAGTAATTGAAAGCTAATGTGACAAAGGTCTTTCTTGTTCAGAATTCCTGGTAAAGAAAGGCTATTCCTGAAGGCAAAGATTAAAAATTAACTTCTATGGAGGTTCATTTACAAGTTCTCGGAGAAAACGCAATGCAAACCAGTATAGTGTGTATTGAATTACTCTGTGATTTTACAAAAATGCCTAAGTATGAATTACTCTGTGATTTTATAAAAATGCCTAAGTATGAATTACTCTGTGATTTTATAAAAATGCCTATTATTAAAATGAAGTATTTATCTCTTGATGTGTGTCTTTGTCATAGGAAAGGATGCTGACTAAAACTGTCTAAAAAGAATGATCATTTATGTACATACCAATTTTCCAGTCCCAGTGAATGCTGGCAATATCCGTATATTCCACAAGCAATCTAAGATTAAAGCAAGAGGTCACAGAGAGGTACACACACCAGTTTTCACCATTGTATAAGCACTTAGTTGCTATACTTCAAATAAGGTGAGGAATTATGTTGACTTTTGAATTTTTCTTAGAGTATAAAAATAACTGTATTTTTTATAAAAATGACAAAGAAGAGCCCAGCTTGTGTGGCTCCATGGTTGAGCGAGGATTTGACCTATGAACCAGGAGGACATGGTCTGATTCCCGGTCAGGGCATGTGCCCTAGTTGCAGACTTGATCCCCAGTGTGAGGCGTGCAGGAGACAGTTGATCAATATTTCTCTCTCATTATAGATGTATCTCTCTCTCTCTCTCTCTCTCTCTCTCTCTCTCTCTCTCTCTCTCTCTCTCTCTCTCTTTCCCTCTCCCTCTCCCTCTCCCTCTCCCTCTCCCTCTCCCTTTCTCTCTGAAGTCAATAAAAATATTATTTTAAGTGACAAAGAATAAAACCAAAAAGACCCATAAACATATTTGACTGTCTTAAAGCACATATTTTACTGTCTTAAAGCACTCTTCAATAGCAGTCCGCTATAGGAGAAAAATATGATATTGTGTTTTCCCTTTGGATAGGAAGTTAATATTTTTTGGAAATAATTGATAAAGAGACTCTTTACTGGTACTGCCTCTACTATATGTATAAGAAAATGAGACATAATTCTTAACATTTCAAAAATCCTCTAATATATAGGTAGCAAGTTACTGATTTTATTTTTTTTCAATTTAAATTCTTTATTATCTAAAGTATTACATGTGTCTCCCTTTTCCTCCCATTGACCTCTCCCTGGCTGCTCCCATCCCCAAGCACATGCCCCCTACTGTCTGTGTCCATTGGTTATGCTCCTATGCATGCATACAAGCCTTTGGTTGATCTCCTACCCCCTCAGCCCCTACTTTCCCTCCTAAGTTGTACTGTCTGTTTGATGTCTCTGGTTCTATTTTTGTTCATATGTTTACGTTGTTCATTAGAGCAAGTTACTGATTTTAAATGTGAGTCTGGGCCAAATAAATAAGGAATATTAGTAGTTGAAGAGTAATAACCTATGACATATTTGCTAATTTTGTTTTTAAGGAAAAATTTAGACTTACAGCTGTATGCCACTGATGATTGTTCCGAAGAAGCCCAGCATTCCTAAAAACTCCTGTCTGCTCAGCTTCTTCACAATGTACTCTTCACACACATTAGAAATGGCATAGAGGGAAGCCCCGACAAGAACCAAGATGTCACCAATCAGAACATCACTGCCTACAAGAAGACAAGCCACAAAAAGGAACAATTATCAATAGGAAAACCTCTTTAGCTTGCTCCTAGGAGTTTATGTGGCTAGTGTTCACTTAATATTAAGATTTTAAGAAAGAAGAAACCCTGATTTCTAGAAATTTAAAGACTCTTGATCTTCTTACTTTCTGGCACAATTCTGCTGTGATTTTTCATATTTTGACGGTTCAAGAGACTAACAGACTGTGGTATATATGCCTTAATATGAGATCTCAGAAAATTATTGTATGGCATGAGAAATAATGGAATTTATTGAAGGGAATTAATTTAAAATGATAAGGAAGGTAGGTAAGCAAGGTCATTTCTCTCTTAATGGAGATATAATATTTAAGTCACTGGTAGATTAGGTGAACTCATAGACCTTATTGAGATTTACACCATCAATTACCTGAACCTTGACCCAAAGAATATCAAAGTATTTTCATCAACAGAGTCGACACAAAGTCTCTATTTGATTTAAAAAAAAAAAAAAAAAAAAAAAAAGAAAGAAAGAAAGAAAGAAAGAAAGAAAGAAAGAAAAAGAATCTACATTATATTTTCTAATAACTAATCCAAATGTATGGACCAGAAGAAGATTGCAAATATATAAAGAAATTTATTTTGTGAAAAGAAACAAAACCAGTGTGAAAAAAGGAACAAGAATTGTGGGCAGGTAGAACATAAAGAGTGCTTTGTGGAAATGGTTACTATACCAGAAGCAAGTAAATCTGAAAATAAAATTGAAAAGATAGTTAACCAGTACATGTTTCCGCATTGTACTGTATATTTAAAAAATAAAAGTGAAAACCTAAGCAACATTTTTCTCTGGGACTGAACCAGAAAGAGGTCTCACAGTCTTACCTGAATTGTCTTCCCTCCCAGATAATATGTCTGCACCAACCATAGTTCCGACGCCCAGCAGACAGACAGCCACGGCAACAAAATGGATCACTCTGTATCTCGCATAAAGAATGAACCAGGAGAGAGCCATCAACACAGGAATTCCAAAGCAATCCAAAAGCTGCATGGAAGGAGAAACAGACAGCTTAGAACACCTCTCATTAGCTAAAGATAGGTGATTAAGTAATAATAAAAGTTAGCAATTATGCTTGGCCAGCATGGCTCAGTGGTTGAGCATTGACTATGAACCAGGAGATCATGGTTTGGTTCCCGCTCAGGGCACAGTGTGGAGTGTGCAGGAGGCTGCCAATGGATGATTCTTTCTCATCATTGATGTCTCCATCTCTCTCTCCCTCTCCCTTCCTCTCTGAAATCAATAAAAATATATTTACAAAAAAAGAGAGAGAGAGAGAGAGAGAGAGAGAAAACAATATATAGTGTCCTTTGAGTGCTGCCTGTCATAATACCATTAAAATAATAATAGTAATAATCCTATATAATAAAGAGGAAATATGCAAATTGACCATCACTCCAACACACAAGAGGACCGCCCCCATATGGTCAAAGATGGCAACCCCCATGTGGACACAAGATGGCCACCACAAGATGGCTGGCAGGAGAGAGCAGTTGGAAGGGATCAGGCCTGCAGGGAAGGGCAGTTGGGGGTGACCAGGCTGGTACAGATGACCAGATCGTCCCACTTTTGTCGGGATAGTCCCAACAATTTTTCCCAATTTTCAACAATTTTTCCCACGTCCCATGGCATTTTTAAAAAGTCCCGATTTTTGGAAAGAATCTTTCCAATCTTTCTAAAAATCGGGACTTTTTTAAAACGCCGTGGGACATGGGAAAAATTGTTGAAAATCGGGACTGTCCCGCCAAAAGCGGGATGATCTGGTCACCTTAAGTTAGGGGCAACAAGGCTAGCAAGGGAGGGAAGTTAGGGGTGACCAGGCCAGGAGGGGAGGGCAGTTGTGGGTGACCAGGCCAGCAAGAAAGGGCCAATCAGGCCACCAGGGGAGCAGTTAGATGTCTATCAGGCTGGTTAGGGGATGATCAGGCTGGCAGGCAGATGAGTGGTTGGGAGCCAGCAATTCCTCTAGGGGTCCCAGATTGGAGAGGGTGCAGGCTGGGCGAAGGGAAACCCTCCCCCCATGCACGAATTTTGTGCACCAGGCCTCTAGTAATAAATAAAATAAAAGTCAAAGAGATATAGCCCTGGCCAGCTCTGTGATTACAGTGTCGGCCTATGGACCATAGGGTTGCAGGTTCAATTCCCAGCCTGTGTTGAGGGTTCAATCCTTGGTCCCTGGTGGGTTGGTTGGGGCACATATGGAGGCAACCAATCAATGTGTTTCTCTCAGATTGATGTTTTCCTGTATTTATATCTCCCCTCCCTCCTTTCCCTTCCCTCTACTCGCTCTAAAAACCAATGGAAAAAAACATCCTCATTCGAGGATTAACAAAACAAAAGTCTGAGAGATAGTTGCTCAACCCAGGAATTCTGCCCAAGGGCCTATGCAAATTACCTCCACATTCCCTCCTGTATGTTATCCTTAAGCTCAATAAGCAAACTTTCCTTCCTGCACGTACCCATTCCCTCAGACAACAAATATTTCAGAATGAAAAACACGGAAAGAAGCTGGAATGCAGAGAAAAAGAGCCCCCAGCCCTGTCCTCAGTAGCTCACACAGGGCTAGACAGACGTGGCATACATAATCACACAGCCAGATATTTAGCTGCCATTGGAGTCAGAACTACAAAAGAAAAAGTACTGGTTATTATGAGAAAGCAAGAAGACACCATCTCCCTGCCAGAGTCCAACCTCACTTTGTCAGACAAACACCTGCTCAGAGCAAATACTCTTGCTTGTCATCACCTGTTGATCCTGGGTCCAGAAAATATTTGCTACACCCTACTATTGCCAGTCTGAAAAGAGGGGGATTAAGAGTGACAAAATTATAGCGAATCCAAAATCACTTGTAAGATAAAGGAAAAACAGAGATTTCATTAGCTCAGTTCCTCACAAATTTTGAAAATTCAAGGATAAAAGATAGTCCTTATAATATTCTTCAATCTGCTGGGGAGGGTTTTGTTTTTTGTTGTTGTTGTTTTGTTTTGTTTTTTTTGCATATCTTCTTGTTTTTAACCTTGTCCTGGATTCTCTCTGTGTCTGTCTAATCTTGGACAAGGCAGGCCCTAAACCTCCAGCGGCAGCCTGTTAGATCCTGCCCACCGCTGCTGGCTAACCGTCTTTAACTGTAGTCATTCCTGGAGTCAGATGCCTGTGCAGGAATGGGCACCTTGCCTTGTTATTTATTCCAGCTGCAGAACTCCAATCTCTTAAGTGCTTCATCTAGCCTGCCTGGATAACAAAGCCTTGAACGATGCAAATGATAATAGCCTGTCTTGGGAGGCAGAATCTGGCCCTAATGACTTAAAGTCTCAACTACATTCCTTAAGTAAAAAGGAAAGAGTCACTTGAAAACTCTCATAGGAGACTTCCTGTCCTTGAATTGTATCTTAAAGTCAAACTTAAATTTGCTCTACTTTTAACAATTTTAATGGGCAGTGAGTGGCCATATAAAGGAAACTGCCAAGGTCAGTGGTCGGCGAACTCATTAGTCAACAGAGCCAAATATCAACAGGATAACGATTGAAATTTCTTTGGAGAGCCAAATTTTTTAAACTTAAACTTCTTCTAATGTCACTTCTTCAAAAGAGACTCACCCAGGCTGTGGAATTTTGTGGAAGAGCCACCCTCAAGGGGCCAAAGAACTGCGTGTGGCTCATGAGCCACCGTTTGCCGACCACGGGCCTAGGTCATGGTAAGAGTTCCAGCCTCCCCCGCCCCCCCCCCAACTGTGTGAGCTACAACCAGTCACCCTCTAAGCCAAAATACGATATCAAGAGGTCAAACCAAATGATCTCCTCACAAGTCTCTTCCAACTCCCAAACTCCAGGACTACTTCTCTTATATCTAGCACATCCAGCCATTTATCTACATGGAACCTCCTTTTCAAAATGTATTGTTGGTGACTCTGATGCTTTCAGTTCCAGGAGTCCCCCTATTTTAATTTGATTTTCATAAATTATTGTGCAGGCATGGAAAGCCCGGTACTAAGTAAGACCCTGAGGGGACAGGGAAGGCATAAGTATAACATGGAGTTAGCCTGGCCAGTGTGGTTCAGTGGTTGATCATCAGTCTATGAACCAGAAGGTCACGGTTTGATTCCTGGTCAGGGCACATGCTGGGGTTGCAGGCTCAGTAGGGAGCATGCAGGAGGCAGCCAATCAATGATTCTCTTTCATCATTGATGTTTCTATCTCTTCCTTCTCCTTCCTCTCTGAAATCAATAAAGATATTTTTAAATAAATGGTGATGGGGGGGAGGGAATAAAGAAAATAAAAATATATTCCTTGCTGGAGCCCTAAGTACATAACTTTTGACAACCAAATGCTTAGGTTTTTCTAAGAGGCTGCAAGACATTTTGGGTAGTATAAGGCATAAACTTCAGTCACAAAAACCCCAGTCCAAGTGTTTTGTGTTTAGACCTTGCATCAAATCTTCTAATTATTATTAGTCAGAGATCAAAGTTTCTGGAAATTATAGTCCAGTAATTGAATTATGTGTGAGATTATGAGGGTAGATGTGACTAGAAAATGCTATTTGTTTAAAGTACAGTGAATACTATCTGTGATGAACTTCATTCTCTAAGAAACTAACTTCTGGTTTTAATTTTTATGAAGTTCTGGGTTTTTTCATGTCCCTCCTATAATGTCTGACAACAAATAGTTTCTATCAGGGCTTTGAAACTCATGCCAGTCAAAAACCGAAAGGTCTGCTATGGACCGTGCTTAGCACCATGTGACAGAAAAGAAGGCATTTAATAAAATGCATTCTGGTAATACTAGCACTTAATGTATATGCACATTGGGAAAATACTGAGTTTCCAATCTATCCTTATGTTTTCCAGATGAAGTAAGTCTAATCTCACTTCAATTTTTTCTACATTCCTAAAATTTGGAGATCAAATAAAACATCTCTGTTTTACATAATGCATCAGAAAGTTATAAATTCATTAAACAGTGAAGTCTAAACCTGGCAATGGCATCTATCTCACTTTCACCTCCATTTATAAAACATCTTGTTGTTAGTACTGGTGACTCAGCATTGCGATACATCCCATAGTTTCCTAAAGTTACAACTGCATCACGCACCCATCACCCAAAGCAAAGTCCCTTTCCATCCCCATGTATGCCCCCTTTGCTCTCCTCTACCGACCTCCACCCCCTTCCCCATATGTTCTTTGCTTAATCTCTTCACCTTCTTTCATCCAGCCCCCCGTCCTCCTCCTCTCAGACAGCAGGCAGTCTGTTCCATGCATCCATGCCTTCTTTTTACTTTCTTTGTCGGTTTATTTTGTTCATTAGATTCACACACACCCAACAAATTCCATTTTAAAAAGGCAACTGAATGGGTCTAACTCAACTCCACCGGCTAAAATATCCTGTTGCATAGGAACATATGTCTTTCAATCAAGCAAAAACTAATAAACAAATAAGGATACAAGCTTTGCCTTTGGCTACCATTGCTACCCAAGAGATCTAGCATGTTCCGTCCAATCGCTCCTGTTTGAATACCCACTTGCAAAACTCCCACTTTTCTGTAGCACAAATGTGCAGCCACTTTCTATGCCGTGTGTGAGCAACATATAAAGCAGAGCTCTCGTCAACATCGCAGCATCCGTTGCCAACTAAATATTTATGCTTATTTGGGAAGACACAGTTCTAATATGCTACAGCATTTGCAGTTTGGGAACTCATTAACTCGTGTGCATGTTCCCTAATCCCCAGGTGCTTACTCATCAGCGCATATGCTCCTCTGAAAACAGATAGTATCCACCTGTGCTTGCGTTTTCTTTGAGCGAACGGGTTTGCCACAAAATTAGGTTAGCACATGTGGGTTCGGATTCTTCCCTTAAAACTATATACTAATCCAAACTGGTGAAGGGACTCCCTCGCACCTGGACGCTGGTGAGAGTCGTGTACTGGTACGCTCTGACAATCAGGTAATTCGCTTCCACGTCTGCTAGGCCCAGCAGGATGTACTTCCACCATTTTCTTTTCAAGATGTGAAAAAGGCTGTCGGGGCCTGGTGGAAAGAAATCTGGGTTAGTACATGTTACTTGGAAAATGAAGCTGTGCGTGTTTATTTATATTTACTGTGTATTTTGGAAGTGGCCCCTCCTAATGCGTACAATAGCTTCTGCAAATTCCTACAACAGGTCAGCAGAATCAAATTTTTCTAGTATGAGACCTAGCTAAGGTGTCATCACAGACCAATTGTTCAATGAAAACATCAGAGAAAAAGTAAGTAGAGAAACGTGGTTAAATTCCCTTCTTCCTTGTGACAGAAATATAATGTCTAAAATAGGTTTGGATGTTGCCATTCCTGACAAGCTGCCAATCATCCTAAGAAATGCAATGTTTTCTTATTAATTCACTAGAGGACCAGTGCACAAAATCCATGCATGGACAGGGTCCTTAACAACTGCTGGCTGCTGGCCAGGGCCTCCCTTCCTTCCCCAGCTGCCGGCTGGCAGCTCGGGGCCTTCCTTCATTCCACGCCACCCTTTGGGAGAGAGAGAGAGAGAGAGAGAGAGAGAGAGAGAGAGAGAGAGAGAGAGAGAGAGAGAGAGAGTGAGTTGTTGTTCCAGTTGTTTATCATTCTTTGGTAGCCTTTTAAAAAATAAATATGTTGCCCTAACCAGCTTAGCTCAGTGGATAGAGCGTTGGCCTGCGGACTGAAGGGTCCCAGGTGCTATTCCAGTATTTTGGTTGTGAGCACATCCTGGGCTGGCTGCAAAAATGTTTTTGTTATGTCCTCCCTGGAGTGAGGAAGGGAGAGAGAGAGAGAGAAAGAGAGAAAGAGAAAGTCCGGGGAAGTATTTCACTTGCGAGTGGCCCGGCCCATCCCCATGTTCCAGCCATCACTCCGAAAAAGATTTTCGCACATCATAGCAAGAGATTGAACTCCCATTCGGTTGAACTCCCAAGGGGGCACTTTGCATATTAGGCATATGCCTATTTATATATATATATATATATATATATATATATATATATATATATATATATATTAATAGGCTATGTAACGTCCATTCATGGGCTTCTTCAAAGGAAACTCTGCAATGGTCATTATTTTAAAAGAGATGTGCTTTCAAAAAAATAAAACTTTTTAAAAAAGAGATGTTTCAAGAGAAAAGTACATCAGTTATAAGTTTGGAAAAAAGACTTAGTAGCACCATTGAAGAAACACCTTTTATTCACCAAATTCTATTTATTCAAGTTAACTATGATTCACTTCTTTAGAGAATCTAGCATCACAGGACAGCAGAGTTTGAACATAGATTGGAATGCTTATTGTAAGATAACCTATAAGGAAATAAAGGTAGTGAGAATCACAGCCAGATAGTTATCTTTGAAACCCAATTTACAAGAAAATCCTGAAAGCACAGTTAGTCTTCCTCGACACAAGATGGAACGAAAGGCACCTAACATCCCTCCCTTAGGGAGACCGTATTGCTGTGTCTATGAATCACACTGACTTACTAAAGGCCAGTGCTTACAGAGAAGAGCAACGTCCCCATTAGCCATGTACTAATACCAGTTCTATTTCCAACTCCTAAAGCTCTTGCCAAATTTGGTACATTACCCTTCAGATGGTTTCCCCACTCCTATCACTGGTTTCTATTTTCTTTCAAAGTAAGTTTTTTATCCTGACACATAGGAATACCATTGATGCTTTTTAAGGTTCCTATTAAAAGAGAATTAGCACCCTGGTTAGTGTGGCTCAGTTAGTTGAGTGTTGTCCTATGCACTGAAAGGTCACCCAGATTGCAAGCTCAATCCCCAATAGGGGGTGTGCAGGAGGCAGCCGGCCTATATTTCTCTCCCTCTCACTCTCTCCCTCTCTCCGCCCTATATTTCTCTCTCCCTCTCTCCCTCTCCCTCTCTCTCTCTTTTTCTTTCTCCTCAATTTTTAAAATAGGTAAATTTTTTAAAAAGAGGATGAGCAAATCTGCTTTTATTATGTTTTAAATATGATGAAAATTAAAGTATTGCAACCACCCAATTGATTTGGTTGAGTTACCCATTATCCTCACATTCCTAAATTCAATCTCACTTAATTTATTTTATAATAACATGCTCTTTTGTGGGAACATTCTTCTTAGCATGACTAGGAGCCCCTAATACAGATTGGTGGTGAGAGCATGGACTCTGGGGGCGCTGGCTGCCTAGCTTGGAATCCTGGCTCCACTAGTTACCTCCTATATGACTTAAAGAAAGTTATGTAAGTACTACATGCCTCAGTTTGATCATCTGTAAAGTGGGCATAGTAGTAATACTCATTTGACTCGTTGGGAGTCTTCAATGAGTTTATATCAAACCTAAGTGAGTCAAACAATTAAAATTATGTCTGGCACAAAAATGTTTGTTAGAACCTAGTTTTTCCCATTTTTTGTGTAGCTAGTGAGAAATGATAACTCTAATGATTCTAAAACAATTTAACCAGCCAATGATAAAGATGTTAATTCCTTGCCAATTCCCTGTCTTTGTTTCTCTCATAACATAGATTTGATCTACATGCAATTGATGCTCCATTTAGCATTCTCCACTTAGCTGTATATACAGCCTTTGAAGAGTGAGGTTCTTGACTTTAAGTGTTTGGGGTTTTTTAGATTTTTTTCTTTTTATTGTCTAAAATTTTACAGATGTCTCCTTTTTCTCTGATTGACCCTCCCCCCTCAAGCCATTCCCACCTCCCCAGTGTCTGTGTCCATTGGTTATGCTCATATGCATGCATACAAGTCCTTTGATTGATCCCCTGCCATTTGTCTCTGGATCTATTCTTGTTCATCAAATTATGTTGATTATTATATCTCACATATGAGTGAGACCATGTGATATTTGTCTCTCTCTGATTGGCTTATTTCACTTAGCATAATGCTCTCCACTTCCATCCATGCTATTGAAAATGGTAAATGTTCCTTCTTTTTTTTTTTAAATATATTTTATTGTTTTTTTATAGAGAGGAAGGGAGAGGAATAGAGAGTTAGAAACATCGATGAGAGAAAAACCGATCAGCTGCCTCATTCATATCCCCTACTGGGGATGTGCCCACAACTGAGGTACATGCCCTTGATCGGAATTGAACCTGAAACCCTTGAGTCCACAGGTCAATGCTCTATCCACTGAGCCAAACCAGTTAGGGCAGTTCCTTCTTTTTTATAGTGGCATAGTATTCCATTGTGTAGATGTACCAGTTTTTTAATCTACTCACCTACTGATGGGCACTTAGGTTGTTTCAAATATTAGTTATAGTAAATTGTGCTGCTATAAACATAAGGATCTATATATCCTTTTTTATTGGTATTTCAGATTTCTTGGAATATAGTACTAGAAGTGGAATTACTGGTTCAAATGGGAGTTCCATTTTTAACTTTTTAAAAAAATATATTTTATTGATTTTTTTTTACAGAGAGGAAGGGAGAGGGATAGAGAGTTACATCGATGAGAGAAAAACATCCATCAGCTAATCCCTGCACACTCACCACTGGGGACGTACCCGAAACCAAGGTACATGCCCTTGACCAGAATCGAACCTGGGACTCTTCAGTCTGCAGGCCAACATTCTATCCACTAAGCCAAACTGATTTGGGCCATTTTTAACTTTTTGAGGAAACTCCCATACTGTCTTCCACCGAGGCTGCACCAGTCTGCATTCCCACCAGCAGTGCACGAGGGTTCCTTTTTCCTCCACTACCTCACCAGCACTTATAGTTTATTGATTTATTGATGATAGCCATTCTAACAGGTATGAGATGACATCTCATTGTTGAAATGTTTTTAATATTGTCTCTTAATCTTATCAACCTAACTTGTAATAGCATTTACACTTTTAATTTTTCTGACAACTTCTACTGTTCCAGTTTGGTGCTACTTATTTTAATCAACAATGCTAGAGATTATGCATGAATCTCTAATCAGAACTTTCACAGGATTCAGAGGCATCGTGCTTTTCTAATGACTTTTATAAAAGTAGCAATAGTTTTTCCTGTTCTTACTTTTGTCTCATGTTTCATTTTTTAAATGCCTAAAAACCACATTTTTTAATGAAGATAGGTCATTGAAAAAAGTTAATTCCCACACCCGGCATACCTGATTGAAATGCCAGCATCACTGTATAAACGAGAAACAGCAAGCAATAGTTGATAAAGCTCTGAAGCATGGGAGTGTTCACTTTGTATTTTTCTGCCAAATACTGGCTGGTAATGGCTGTTCCACATATACACAAAGACAATAGCTGACCCAGGGCAATTGTTTTCAAAATATTCCTAGAAAACAAAGAAGGAGATCTGAATAACATGCAAGTAAGTTATACCTCTGACACAAACACAAACATGCACAACATACAACATACACTTGACTGCTCAAGGAAAAGGGAAATGCCAGTTATTCCTGTTTTGTTATTATTCCATTTTATTGCTTACTTATGTACAAAAATTAAAGTGTTGGATTATTTCCTCATCACCATTTATCCCCTCTATGCCCTTTTCTATCTCTACCGACTCCTCTCCCCCACCATCACCGCACTGTTGTCCATGGCCATGAATAAAAGTGTTGCATTTTGAGATTTTATTCTCTTTTACATTTCTGATTTCCTTCATGATCACAAAAATACGTATTTCTCCATTTTACTGTCCACCCATTTAGAAATCATTTTGACTACTTAGCTATGTGATACACTATTTGAAATGGGTTTGTATGATTTTTAAAAACTCAGTTTTAACTTGTTTTAAAACCTTCCTATTTATTAAATGTTTAGCATAGTCTCATCCTTTCCTTCTCCTCGTCTTGATTTCTTCAACTAGAAGTAGACGTTTGCAATGTTACCTACATGTTAGAATCACAGCGCCTTTTTTGTTTGTTTTTTTATCTCTATTGTTGAAAGTATTGCATAGGTCCTCCTTTATCCCCCTCACCCCACCCCCACCCCAACTCTGGAGGAGGAGATCCCCAGGGCCAACAACACGAGGAAGCACAGATTCACTGGGCAGGCCTTACAGGCCACCTGTCCCAAGCCTCACATTGTCCCCCACCCTTCTCACAAGGTCCCAGGCACCTCAATTTCTACTGCTCTCAAATGGAACTCACTACTCGCCCCTTTCCCCAAACCTGTTTCTCATCCTGTCTTCCTATCCTGCTCAGCAGCCTCACAGCCATCCATGTAGTCTAGAAACCCAGGTATCAGTCAGCACCTCCTCCCGAGAGCTAACGGTGTACTGGGCTGTGTGGAGTCTTTCATGTCATTCTCTACTTCCCATTCACGCTGACATGGCTTTCAGCCAGGTCTCACTTTGGCCGGGGCCATTGTATTGGTTTTCTAACTGCTTCTCTGCCTTGTTCCCTTCTCATCAATCCTTCTTTTCCTAATCACCAGAGTCACTGTCATAAATCCCTCTGGGTTTGTTTTTGCAAACTGGTGCAAATGGGTCACTGATGTGCTAAGGTAAAGAGTTGGGTGAGGACTCAGGATGGCCTGCTGGGGACTACAGAGACATCCATCCTCTGCAAGCAGTGTACTCGGGAGCACCTACAATTATGATTTTCTATTTGTGCCACGAAGCCTAAAGGGACTGTTTGCTTTGAAGATACATCAAAGAGTGGAATTGTTAGTCTTAGGGCATAAGCATTTTCAAATTTCCTTATTTTGCTAGATAGCTCTTCAAAAGTTATATTCCTTCATGCTGTTTGCTCTTTGATCTCAAAAAGAAGGAGCTGAAAAGCCCCACCCTTCTTGGGGAGGAACAATAGCAGGAACTGGCCAGGGACAGACATTTTATTAGGTTAGGGAAGCACATTTTATGCCCAGGTGAGCAAAGGGTTAAGACCATGGTCCCACAGAGGCAGTAGTGTTCTCAGAGATGCTCTACCTATCCCTGGCAGGTCCTCTGTGCTCACTTCCTCCTGAACGAGGCCCTGATTCTGGATTTTAGGCTGCCCAATCCTAAATAAAAGAAATTATCCACATGGTCTTGTGGGGCCAAAGCCAAGAGTGGAAAAGTACATTTTAGGAGACAAGTGTCATGGTCCCCAGTCACATACTTCCCCCAAGAAACCTGTGGTGAAGGGAACTTGGCCAAGGACATGGTTCCAGTTTTCCTGTATTTCATGGTTCAGTTGGCATCATCAGAGCAAACATTCCCAACCTAATTCTCATCACCACCCTGAGGACAGTAGTCTTCCTCCACTCCTATTACCAAGGGGAGCGTGAGGCTCAGAGTGACTCCAAACTCACCCACAGTCCCACAGATAGGAAAAGGCAGAGGAAGCCAGGGTCCTTCGCTGTTAAAGGACTAGATAAAGGAGTTCAAATTTATTCCAAGAATCAGATCTAGGGAAACGTCTCCTCTCCTAAAAGAAAGTCCCAGAACTGCAGAACTTCGGTGCTGTGGCCCCTTATTTTAGGTGAAGATACGGTGGCCCAGAAGATCACACAGGAGCAGGGCTCATGCCCAAATTTTCTGATCATTAAACATCTGCTGCCCCCACTACAGCTCATGGTCTTAGGATAAGTGAGGTCATCCCTTAGAGTTGACATCTTTTTACCTTCTGTATCACTTTCGCCTTCCCCCAATACCTTTCTTTTCTTCTCCATTATGATTTTATAACAGAGCTTATAGTAAACCCTTTCTTCAAGAGATCTCGCATCCCTCCTCACCGTTTTTCACTGCTTCTGGGGACATCAGGGGATGAGTTGGCTGTCCAAAGTACAAGTCGTGGAAAAGCCAATCAAGTGTCAAATAACCTAATCAAACTTAGACCATTATTCATATCCCATAATGGACGTGGAAACCATTATAAATTTGAAATAAGTGAGAATAATAAGTGTGTCCTGTTCACAAATGGACAAAATCCCTCCAGCAAACTCATATTTGCATTCTAAAGCAGCCCAATTAAGCAAGCTGTCCTCCAACTATAAAGTATAGCCAACTATAAAGCTAGCCAAAGAGAGTCACAAATTGAGTATGGCGATTTAAGGTTACAGAATGCACTTCTCTTGGCTCCAAATCATAATGACCTCATCCATAATGGAAGAGCAGGAGCAAGAGGGAGGGGGAAGGCAGACAGAGGGGTGGAGTGGGTGGAGGCTGAACAAAAGGAGAAAGAAGAGAAAAACACTCCGGTAGAGAAAGATACCAAAGGCCTCAAAACAACTTTTATTACTTATAGTTTCACATGTAAGCATTCCGCCACAAGGTCCCATTCATATGAACTGGGAACTGTACCCAGGGGCTCTTTATACCTTAACAAAACCAGTCCCTCTCTAAAGGAAGCTGCCAGAAACAATGTGCATCTAACCATGGGATATATCCTGTCCCAGGGCTTCAAAGGAACCTCCACTGACTGACGTGAACTTCAAAGGCAGGATATGGTCCGACTCCAGGACATGTTTCCCAAGGCGACTTCACACTGGGGGAGATCAGCCAGCAGAAAGCAGAGCAAGCAAGAGCTATGGATCATTTGGGGCAGAGGTAGACACCCAAAGTAGAAGGTAACCTGAGTAAGGTTCCCTTCTGACTACTTTACTATTTGGAGATATTGTATGACTTTAAGGATTGAAAAAAAGAAAAAAATGAAGGCATTTTATTTTCCCTCCGCCTTTCTTACAGAAAACCTAAAGACCCCCTGATCACAGGCCAGAAATGTGAAAAACAATTTCCAGATAGATTCAGCAATGAAGGAAGGCTGTAACACCGGTTTCTGCCTCATTCAAACACACCGTTTTACATAAAATGATGGGATTGATGCATTTCGTTAGCTCTTGTTCATTTGCAATGTCAGGTTAGACCAGGAGCCCTTCAGCTGGGTGTGCATTAAATCATCATCGAAGGCTTAAAAAGAAAAACTGATGCCATTAAGACTAGCCCAAACCAACTGAATCAGGTTCTCAGGAAATGAGGTCCAAATATCAGCCTATTTAAAAAAATATATTTTATTGATTTTTCACAGAGAGGAAGGGAGAGGGATTGAGAGTTAGAAACATCGATGAGAGAGAAACGATGACCAGCTGCCTCTTGCACACCCCCCACTGGGGATGTGCCCGCAACCAAGATACATATCCTTGACTGGAATCGAACCTGGGACTTCTCAATCCACAGGCCAATGCTCTAAACATTGAGCCAAACCAGTCAGGGCTATCAACCTATTTTTAAAAGCCCTTTCAACGAGTCTACTAGGCAATAGTATGGCAAACCACTGAATTATTCTCTCCCTTTTATTTGAAGAAAGAGTTCCAAGTGACTAATAAAATGCATGTTTGGATGCAAATCATATTATTTTTCTTCACGTTATGTCTCCATAAATCTGTGCTGCTAGATTGCACCTTGTCCGCTAGAGGCAGGATCGAGTAGTAGACTTCCACATAGCATAGCTTCTTTGGGGAGATTTTTAAATGCATTACATCTGCCACCTGTAAACACTGGGAACAGAATAACTTCCAGCACTTCTATAAAAATCCTAGTACAAGTCTGAAAATAAATATTCATTTAGAGAAAAATCCTCATATTTAGCACATAGATTGCCTAGTGTCTCTTACTGGAGCATTTTAAATCATATTAGAAGCAAGCTGGAAACCTCGAAAGCAAATGGTAGCTTTTCTTCACATAGTGAGTAGCAGCCTGGCTGACCTTTAATTCTTTCCATATCTACATTTCTGTGGTTCAGAAATTTAGCCATCAGTGTATTGCCTACTTCTAACGGCTAGCAGTTTTGAAGAACGCACATTCTGATGTATTGGGACATTTTCAAAACTCAAAGTTGCCAAGAATGCCAAATTTCAAACTAGAAAATGTAGTTATGTGTAAATATTACCTTAAAAGGAAGGCGTCTAAGGAAAGAAAATTTGTGTTTTCTTTTTTTCCCCACTGCATTATATCTTGTGCACAGTAGGTGCTCAGTAAATGTTTATTGAATTAATGAATAAGCGCTGCAGTTAATTATTGAGATGCTATAATGTTAAAGTGCAAGATAGGGGACCCTTAGCGAGGACACCGTAAGACGTGAACTCAAGGCATTTAGAGCAAAACGAATATGAGTTTGGGAGTTAGATAAAAATGAGAGTCTAAATTTAAGTTGGAAGCATGAGAGAGAAAAGAAACAGGTGCAGGCAAGTGAAAACAGGGGTTTGCATTACTTCTGTTTTGTTTTGTAAAAGGCGGGTGGAGATTGCATCCCAGAGGTAGCCTTTGGGAAAGAAGTGTTCCTTCCAAACACAGTGGAAAGTGCATTAACTTTGAACCAGAGTAACTTCATCTCTTATTAATGTTAGGAA